TATATATATATATATATATATATATATATATATATATATATATATATATATATATATATATATATATATATATATATATATATATTATATTTCAGCTGTGTTTATAAAGTTTTATCTTATATTTAAAATCGTCTTATATTTATCTTCAGATGCTATACAAATCGTTGCACTGATTACCGAATATTCAGAGGTAAATTTAAAACAATCTTAAATATAAGGATAGATTATGAAACAGCTTTAGTACATACTAATGCGCACTAGTACTTCCTGGTAAAAGTAACGCACAGAAACAGACAAAACGGCAGACGAGCAGGATTTCTATCCGTTTCTAACTGTAAGCTGTCCGTTCTATCTGAAAATACAGCATGCGGAAAATCCACATTTGCAGTAGTAGATTCTATCTGTTTCTATCCATTTCTGTCCGCAATTTTTACTAGGACTTCCAATTCGAACTCGCCATAATATTTACACTCGATACCGTGATATTTCCAAACTTTTGTTGGCAGACAAACGAATTATTTGATCACGTTTGGACCTCCTAACAAAAATAATTTAACATGTTAGTGTCGAGTCTTCACATTAAGGTACAATGATGTACTTCAGACGCGCCGATATTTGTCTTCGTCCACGGCGGATATTGGCAGGAATTCAGCAAGGACCTCACCGGATTCTCGGTACCCATATTTGTTGAAAACAAAATTAAAGTAATAACAATTGGATATGATCTATGTCCGCATGGTAAGCAAAAAACATTATATTTTATCTTACCAATGTATTTCTCGAAATACTCTGAAAATTAAAAGTTGCCAATTAAAGATACAAGTTCGCGCTAAAAAGTTAGTTCTTTTTAAGCAACATAATGTTTCTTTCTTCTTCTTGCCAATTAAAGATGTTCGCGCTAAAAAGTTAGTTTTTTTTAAAGCAATATAATGCTCCTTTTTTCTTCTTGTTTCAGTCGAAATATGGGATATAGTGGCGCAGATAAAATCGGCGGTCGCGCAAATACTAAAGTACGCGTCTGATTCTGGTTGCAAGTACGTAAGCTCGACCCTTCAAATATGTGCTCTGCTTTATTTTATCATATTTAATAAGAAATCTAACTACACATATTTATAAATCTCTGCTAAAACTTTTTGTATATTTTGGAACTTCTAAAATAAGTTATAAAGATGCAGCAATTTTCTTTAAAATTAATATCTTAAACGATACAAACATACACTTGATATGTACAAGCTCTACAGAACTTATACAAACAAATATTTATGCTAATTAAGCAGCTTCATATGTTGATTTTGTAATTTTTTATTTTTTTCATCATATATCGATTAATGCTCCAATTCTCAAACAGCAGAAATCTACATATGACATCCTAAAGACATTCTGAGAACGCACACATTTAAATACATTAAAAATAATTTCAAATTCTTTCAAAAATAATTGTAACTGTGTTATACTGAAATTGTCATTGAAATTGTCGTTCTCACTATACCAACAGCCTTGCCAGGTTTTACAGACCCAAATTAGTTGCTGTTGATTATATTCATTGTCCTTTGAAATACGGATTATCTTTTTAATTATACAAATCTTCACATAGATCTGTGTGGATCGGCGGACATAGTGCCGGGGCGCATTTGATCGCGTCCTTTTTGTACGATGATAACTGGATCAAACGCATGACGCAGCAGGGATACATTACGCTGTTAAAAGGACTCGTCCTGATAGCCGGATTGTACGACGTAAGACCCGTAGTTGATGTCAGTCAATTGAGCGAGCTCCGTCTGACCGAGTGAGTAATGAATAAAAATTAAAGTATCTCTCATGAAGTTTCAGACGACTATTAGTGCAATAATTCACAATTCACTCGCTCTTCGTTTATCGCGTTTCAGTGAAGTGGCTAAGACACTAAGCTGGTCCATTCTTGACGAACCAAAGAATCAGCCACTTTGTAATTTGAAAGTTGTCGTGACCGTAGGGGGCGGTGAATCTCCGAAATTTATTGATGAATCACGCCAGTACGCTCAGGTAAACGCAGTTGGATATTCAATATTGACGTCACATTGGTCTAAATTAATAATGAAACGTCGCACTGTGATTTCAGAAACTTATTTCTATTGTGAATAACGTGGAGTTCCTCTTTCTCCCGGACAACGATCACTTCGACATCGTGGAAAATCTCTTGGATCCTAACTATATCCTGGGGAAATTGCTAGTGAAATGTATAAAGCCGGACGCGAATACGAAATGAAAAGCAACCGTTTGCTCCGTTGCACTTCATATAACACGCATTATATCCAATATTTTCTTTCATTAATAAATTGATTAATTACAATATATATACATATGTATGTATATCATACGTATGTACAAAAATATTCACACATATACAGGGTGTTTCTGGTAACTCACAAAGGAGCCGCGGTGTACAAGTAGATTAGGCAAATTAAATAAAAAATTCCTCTACCGTGTTTTGCGAACCACGTAAAATTCTAAGTTATTAATCAAAGAAGATAAATGATAACGCGCAATAAGGTAGATGAGGTGTGATGGCGATGTTTGCCGCTATATGTTTGTATATTAAACTGAATATAAACGTCCCCC